CCAACCATCCCGGAAAATGGTGTTTCTCCAGGCTGTGTCCCGGGCGAGGCAAAATAGCAAAATGTCCCGGAATTTTCTGGCTAGCCAGCGCTTATACTTGCGTAAGATGACCTCTTCAAAATTCAAACCGTACCTTTAGTCACAGTTTCTTGGTAAGTTTACGGAGCTAGCTAGCTTTGGCTCTCCGCGCGAGGCTCTGCGCTGCCAGTGTCAACGTGACGGGCTGCGCGCATCAACACATAGTACACACACGCGCAGTATGCGAAGATGGCTACTCGCGTGCGCGCGTTATATTACGTAATAAGTGGGCATGGCCTATATATAATGGGGCGGGTCGCACTGTCCCGGATTGTCCTCCGGAAAAGTTAGCAACTATGTATGTAACATAATTATATATATACAACAGAGTAATATACGCACACATAGTGTGATCGCATTTGCCATCACCACTCTAAGATGTGCCATAAGCAAAACCATCCGCTAAATTAATACTAGAGGGATCTGCAGCATTTCACACTGGTATCGATTAAGCACTGGTCCAGTTTCAAGGCCAGCTCCATAAAACCTTAACAGTGCCTTCTACATATATAATACATACTTGCCCATCGACCAGTGCAGTCAGGGGAAGATAGTCGAAGAGATCAGTGAAATACTTCCATACATTAGGGTTTCCGTACTTGCGCAGACACTCATCATAGAACCCATAAACCTGGGTAATTTGCCTGTTCTCATGATTTCCTCGCACAATGGTGATTCTGTTGGGAAATCGAACCTGCAGTGGTACAAAGAAACATACTAATGGGGCCCATATTTTTGCTCCATACATAACAGTTACACATTTAATTTCCCTTCCTAACCAAGGTCAACTTCACACCTACAATCACATGCACACAAGCTATACACTGTATTTCCTCGTATAGACGCCGCAACTCGAATAGTAGCCACCCTCGTATAGACGCCGCATGTAGCTCGGTTTGAATCGCATTTTGCGCATGAGCAATATGCAATGTCAGACATGCTTCTCTGTTTTGTTGTATGTCAGTGCCCAAGCGGGTAGACTTTGTAGTGTGTATCGTCGATCAAGCAAAGCAGTGGGGCCAAGGCAGCGGCAAGTTGTGATATCGCTCTCCGATAGAAGGTTGCAACATGGATTTATAGACGTGATGACCAGAAACGTGGATGAAAAAAAATTGCGAGGCGCTATTTTGACGCTGCTGGTTTGCAAGTCGAAAAAATAAATGCTGCCCTGGAATAGACGCCGCACCTACGCCACTCCGAAATTCACTGTAACCGCGGCGTCTGATTGAGAAAATATGGTATGACAGACTAGAGGAGGACTGATTAACAATGGCAGAAATATTCCATTATAGACCCACCCATTTTTGCACAGAACTACGTGTAGGTTATGCACCTCAGTGGAAGTATTACGAGATTTTAGATGCCAAGTCCGCCTTGGTCACTATTGCATCGTCCAAGACCGACTACGAAATCGAGTAGTGCTCCATGAGGTGCCTAACCGGCTTAGACGATGGCGAATTCTAGCTGAAGCAGTCCTATCTTGCCTCCTAGGCTAGTGGAAAAGTTAGGTGATCAGCTGCCAAAAGTTTTCATGATAGTTCGCAACGTTCTACCACACACCACTTGCGTCAAAGACTGCTCCTGGGACAGGTGAGCTTTAGTGTTTAGCAGCACAACACCCTAGAACTATACATCTGCAACAATGGGAGCCGTTTGTAGCCCATTTAGCTAGTTTAGTCTCACTCGAAAGGTCCGTGAAGCCACGAGCAATAACGAAGCTGGGTATAGGCCTCCATGAGATTCGGGCTCTTTCCTAGTGACTTGAAACTCGCTTATCTACTGCTAAACAGCTGCTAGGGTCACTTCATGGGCGTACTCTCATAAATTTATGCATAGGTTACTATAAGTGCTAGCAGGTATATAGTTCTATGGAATTTATAACCCTCATTACAATAGAGCATAATTATTATGCATCATCGTCTAATTGTGGTTATGCTAACCTTCAGAGCTACAAGAAGTGACACTGTCTCAACTGAGTAGTACCCTCTGTCAACATAGTCACCCATGAAGAGATAGTTGGTGTCCGGAGACTTTCCACCTATTCTGAACAGTTCCATCAGATCATGAAACTGGCCGTGTACATCACCACACACTGTGACCGGACATCGAACCTCTTGGACATTTGACTCATTGCTGAGTATCTCCTTTGCCTAAACAGAAACAACACACACATATTATGTACTACCTATAAGTGCACAAGCGAAACCAGACTTCCTACGAATCTGCGCGCACGGCGGAAGCTAGACTTCCTACGAATGACGGAAGTTGACATTCCTAAGCGTGACTAATTGACATTCTTAAGCGTGACGACACGTACGTATGTACGCATATTGCGAGAATACAACCCGGAGTAGTTGCCTCACGCTAACGCGCTCGGCAATTATATCTAGAAACCCTGAGGACCCTTGCGTCATGGCGTTCTGAACACAGCAAGAACACTACATGGAGGGCCTGAAGACGTAGATTTTTACGGAAGAGATGACTAGCTCAATAGATGCGAACTTGTTTTTGCACGTGTGCAGGTAATCAGCGCCGTGGGTACTTAGTAAATTTGATGTGATTTACTAGATGAGTCACTACGAGATTTAGTAAACACGTTTTCACACGTGAGTGTGTACCAAGACTAGAATTGTCAGGCAAATGACCTTCTACTCTTGTCCCCAGGTTGAACTGCATTGCATGGAGCGTACAATTAACAAAAAACATGTTCAAACACCTTGTGTGTTGATCCATAAAGCCAGGAGCTGGCAATAAAACACTACAGTAGCTAAACCTTATTTGTTGTCTATCACAACCACGGCTTAAATGTGCAGTTGCCATGCATAGGAAAATGCACATTCCGAACACCCCTGAGACTCTGTGTATAATAGTCAAACACCGGTATTGGAGAATCTCACAATTTTTGACAGTTTTACTGTTAGCAAGATGGCCAGCGTCTTTTGCCGCTTAACTGCACGGCTCCACGTGAGCCGCTTTCAACAACAACAGTCCAAAACATCACTACAAACATCGAAGCAAACATAAAACAGTGAGACTGAGCTTCGCGAGTCGGCTGGGGCCTGAGGTAAATATATAAACCGGGACAGACAGTTCGCCATCCTACCGCCTGTGCCGCGTATAGTCGCTAAAAACCTACTTCTTAGCAACAGCTTACCGTGTCATGGCAAGCGATGAAACTCTGTGAAGACCCCTGAAAACACCATCAGAGTTGCCAGCAAAGTTCTACCCCACCAAGAAAGCTACACAGCTGCTCTTTTGTAGGCTCAGCGGGGCGTAGTTACCTCTCTGCGGGGCGGACGAATCCAAGTGGCTTGCAAGCAGCTCGCAGTTTCTCGGTCACGAAGAAGCATAGCCAGTAAGTCTGGGCATGCATGGTTTATGGGCATAGTCCTACACAGTATCGAGTGGTGTATGGGTCGCCATTTTGTCAGTGCATATTTGTCGGGCAACCTCAAAAAATGGAGTCGCCCGCACCAGTGTTTCGCCTATTATTCACGAACTGCAAGTTTAGAGACTCGGGACTACCAGGACTTGTTCTCCATCATGTATGATGAAAAATATGCTGATGGACTCGCCCCTAAAGATGGGGCTCACACTCCCCCAAAGAAATGCTGTAGGAGTGTCTCGCCAAAAAATACCCCTGGTAACTAGCAAAGGATGTATGTGCTCCCACATGACCAGGATATAGGTGGCCCATGATGACACCACATACTGGCATCCGCCATCACATGCTCTGCTCGTTTTCTGGATGGCGACAACAACTCGACACTCCCACACTGTCTCAGACTAGAATCTACGGGGCGAGTGAATCACCTGTGTAGGTACACATACCGTTACTGAACACCCCACAGACTTGTTGAGGGAAAAGATGGAAATGTCAGTAACATGTAGCACTCTGAAAGCGCGCCACAAAAAAAGGACACAAGTGTCCCTGTTACGGCTACAATCTCCGCGCTTGTAGTGACGACGGAGACGAATAGAATGTAATATACCTTTTCACACAGCGCCTTTACTTGTGTTTCTTCCAGTTGCTTGCACTCCTCAAGCTTACTTATCCACTCATCTACCTCTTTAACCACAACCCTATCCTCCATCGTCGATTAGTTCGTCGTCGCTCGTGAAGCATATTCAGGCTCCGTATCTATTTGGCGCACCATACCTATCACAACGTGATATATCACCGGAAGTCGTGGCATTATGATAGCATTTCACTCCTGACGTCATGCGATGACATGTGACATCATGTGATCTCCCTCCTGAACGCGCCGAGCCGCCTGAGGTAAACTGATTTGTAGTCCAACTAGCCAATCACAATGCTGAATTCCTGCTGTGTCACACTGTATACTAATGTGCTATTGTGTAAACTTTGGAAGCCAGACAATTGCATTTATACGCCTAGCGCTAGATGTTGTGATAAGGACTTCCTGTCCAATACTGATATTGTTCAGCCCTCAGCCCACAGCTCAGAATACAGTGTATATTCATAGCGCAGGGTTGTTTGAAGTTGGACTACAAACCGACGTGAAGGATATTATACTAGTAGGCGAATGCATGGCATTTTTGGCGAGCGGAAGCGAGCTTACAACTAATCGTATGAGTCACTCTTGTGCGTGCACAGTGAGATACATTGCACAGGGCAGGGCCAAGTAGGCCTTTTAGACCCGAGCGCAGTAGACAATTCGAGTCGAGTCAAAAACAGTCAGACGACAGCGCGAATCAGGCATAATCCGGCAATCGAGAAAAATCTCTCGCTGGACTGTGCAGCAATTCTCGATAGCTTCGGAGGTGTTCGAGCCTGCAGTGTTGCGTTTCCTATCGATTCAGGCAACATATGAAAATTTTGAAATCCCTTTCGGATAAAAAGAACTGCGTAATGCTGGAGCATGCGCAGTTGGACGACGTACGGTGACATAATATATATAATAATTATAGCTCGCTTCCGCTCGCCAATTATGCTATGGTGTTAGTGATGCAAACATGTAAGTAGTGTAGAATGTCCAGTGAGTAAGTATTTCAAGGGTGGAAACCCTGACACCTCTCAGAAAGACCTCATCTCCCCTAGATGTCTTTGCCTCCCTGATGATCCCCCTGAGGACAAGTTCAAAGGTGTTCACATGGTGCATGTGAGTGGTGTGTTGCCTGTTGCCATGGTAATATCCGTCATGTGTCGTTTCCCTCGCAAAAGAAAGTGATGTTAGAATATTTTCCAGTTGTTCTACCAGAGCTGAAACAAGTCTATACTCAGCGTCAGTCAACTGTGTCTGTTTTGTTGGCCCGTGTCTGGTTCCATTCCTTAATTCTGTGTCCTGGTTCCATTCCACCCTATGTCTTGTTTCCATACATTACCAGCAATCCAGGGTGTTTAGCGGTCATAATGTTAGATTTGTTTTCTGTCCATATTTTCATGTGACTGCTGCACGAATGTGCAGGTAGCAGAGGGTGTAGGCGGACTGGTACAACAGCAGTATTCAGCTCCTTCCTCAGATCCTTGACATGATGGAGTCTGGGTAACTCTTGAACCGCCTACAACAGTTTGTCAGCATTTGTATGCATATTTAGAACTCAGAATACTTTACCTGAGCCAGTTCGTGGTAGAAAGCATCTGAGACACCATACTGGTCCGGCAGAAAGAGGACCTTCTGTGCCGTGTCGTCTGGTGGTGGTGGTGGCGCCAGGACATGCGGTGGAGGAGTATTGAGTCCCTTGGTCAGTGACAGCTGACAGTGTAGTTGCTGTTAGGCCATAGGTCTCCATGCAGGGCTGAAGAGTGTTCTCTGTGTAGGTTTTCAGCTCTGCTATCTTCCGCCGTCTCTGCCGTTCACGAACCTGTTACATAAGTACGTGTACATACAGTGTTCTGCACTTGCTGTTTTTGCTAAGTTTAGGTGCATACCTCATCAATGGTCTTTCCTCTGTTCACTACAGCAGTTACAACTTGTTGATTGCTCTCTGGCTGTCTTGCTCTCTGCTCCTCAGCCAAACGAGTACCCAGCTCCTCCTGTGCCTGCTCAGCTTGCTCTACTCTCTCCTGCATAATGCAGTTACAGGTACACATGTCCATGCCACACATGGCGCACTTGCAGGTGCTGTCGGACTGTCTCAACAGCATGGGTTTCTCCATTCAACACCAGGAAATTGGTGGAGACTTTGGCTCTGCCCCTGGAGCCCTTGCCCAGCCTGACTTTGCTGGAGAGCTTTCCAGCAATTGTTTTGAGTGCTGTTTCCTGTCCGTCGCAAGAACTGCTGATGGTGACTATCTATCTGCAATGTAGCATTCTCATGAAGATCCAGCAGGGGATGATGAGCATGCATAGTGGGGACTCTCCCCACTCCATTGCCTGTACTTGAAGTACTGACTTCAGCGCGAGCGACCACAACCGTCTGCTCCATTGTAGTTTACTTTGTTTTCCCTGCCAAGGCGTATAATTCATTTCCGGTTGAATATTTATTAACTTCCTATTGCATATTTTACCTATATGCAACATTACCAAAGTATTGCACGTTGGTATGCGGCAGCTTGCTAAATGATTCTACCTAGTAACCCAGCTTTGTTGCTCAACTTTACCACTGTTTTACCGGAAAACGCAGATTCTCAAGCTAACACCTGCACAGAAGTGAGTAAGCTAGGTAAGTGCCTATCCCGTGCTGCCTGAGCCATGACTCGGTAGTAGCCAGAGCCTCGCCATTTTCCGCAGCGATAAAAATGGCAGACTAGGCATTAGCCGTACAATGGTGGAAGCGCTCTAGCTTTGCAACGGAGCGTTTTCAGAGAAAACCGTTCGAAATTTCTGACCTTCATTGCCTGTTAAGTAGGTGGTATCCTTCGTGAGACGAACGAACACTCGAGAAGTGAGATGGAGAGTAACACACACACAGACCCAACTACCGTAACCCTCGCTGCGCACCGAGGGTTATGGTATTGTGTCTCCCATTTTATACCATCCCATAATTATTTAAAAACTCAACAGTATTTTTGATCAATATTTTACCTGCATGCTTTTTTTTACTGTGCCCTGAACGTTGCAAAACCACTGGCAGAGGGTTGGGGGTAACACCTACAGCAACTGGTCACGCATTCAACTGATGCACCATGCTTTTTTGCGGTAAATTCACGGAGTATAAACAACAATTGAGAAAAATGTTACAGAGTTCAATGTATAAGTGTTCTCTCGCTGATCCTACATAAAATAGTCTGGTATACGGCGGGTAACAAGTGGTTCCCCCCGACGTGGTGCTGGATCAAACTGGAGACTGTAAAGTGTAAATATACAAGAATGTGTCGGTATTGGTATTGAATTTCATTGCGGAAACAGATTTTCTTTTCATGTCTGAACTTTTGTATAGGTGTTAGGGGAACTAGACGGAACAGTCAATAACAAACACAACACAAAACATGGACTCAAAATTGTGAAAAGTAATCCTTACAAAGTGTACTTCAGTCCATCGTCTAGCTCCATGATGGCAGCCTGGTTACCACAACGATAGCAGTAGTTTGGAGCACTAAAAATGGTCACAACATTTTTCTCGTGACACCAGTTGTATCCCTGAATAACATTTGGGAAGATAGCATAAATAATTACTAGCACGACACATTCCTAACCTCCATAACCAACTGGTGAGCCCTGCTGATGAGAGTGAGGTTGTTGTTGTGGTTGAAATTTTCTGAGATGTCTTGGCCAAATGTGTAGCCAGCTCCTCGGGGAGAGATTCCCCAGCCGCCTCTGTCGTCAGGGTCTGACCACAGTAGATCACACATAGGACCCTGCAACACAAAAATTTAGACATTTTTTCCTATACGAAATTTAGAACAGCATTCAGGAGAAAGAGAAACGGTCAGCTAGTAGAACGCGATTTTGGCACCTACATTAGGCCTGCGGTGTCTCTAATCTACATATGTTTTTAAAGGATGCAGTTAGCTGGCAATTGGTTTGAGAATACGGCCCATTAGCCTGTGCAACTGGCTTTCACGCCACTCTAAAAGAGGGTGAAGCTCTCTGTACCGTAAACAATATGTGATTGTACAATAGTTATTCACACATTAATATCACGCGTGAATACAAAGTGGTATTACTGTACTATTAGTACCTCATGTGGGACTTCCTGCAGGCGGTCCAGAGATCTGATATGATCAAGTGTGTCAATAGATGGCGACAGGCCCCCGTGTAGACAGAAAATCTGTGTTTTGGGTGCATGAGTAACAACTAATGACACAGTAGACACAATGCGCAACACAGCTGCACACCCATGTAATGAATGAAACCTACCCAAACTATCACTCGCATCAACAACCAAATACCTTCAATTCAGATTTCAAACAACCGTTTCTTCTTGGCGTGTTGTTCACTTAACTGGCTGAAGGTATATCTGGAAGTATCACTCAAACCTCTTTACACGTTAATTAACCCTCGACGCGCATGCACAGCGAGGGTTACAGTACTTGGTTCGTAAGTGTGTTTGTAACCACGTTTTCTGCCACCACGCGCAAGAAATCGGCCAAAGAGCGATAGTAACGTGTTCAGTGCTACACTGGCTTGATTTTTAAAAAAGGCGATTTTCATAAAAATACTGCGTTCTAAAGTTATGGCGTGAAAACCAAGTGAACAAGCTAATACGCTAATTAGCAGAGGTTTACCTCGACCGGATCCGCTTGCCGTGTGTATCTTGAAGGCATAAAAAGTCACAACGAAGGGCGTGTATCGACTCCCGCCTGCTATCTAATACTCTAGCTCGCCCGTGTCAGACCCTCCGTGAGCTACTAACGAGACTACGAGTAAACACGCATACTAATAGCCCAGCCCATCAATCAGGGGTTCTGCACATGCGCAGTTTGCCGAGGGTTTGCACTTTAGTGCGTTTCATTATTGACTGAGGCTGTTGGTTGTTGTTTACAAACTTGTTTTTTTGTTGAGCCCATTGGTATTGCTATCTGGTCAGTTAGTTGCACTCCCCAGCACAACTTGAACGGGTTAGAAAGCACTCCGCACCACTGCAAAAGCTCAGTATCCATGCAACATTGAAACCTTTGGGGCCTGTGGGTAACACTCTTGCTTAGCTCATTGCGCCACATTCAACAATTCCAACATTAAAACATACTTGCCCATCGACCAGTGCAGTCAGGGGAAGATAGTCGAAGAGATCAGTGAAATACTTCCATACATTAGGGTTTCCGTACTTGCGCAGACACTCATCATAGAAACCATAAACCTGGGTAATTTGCCTGCTCTCATGATTTCCTCTCAGAATGGTGATTCTGTTAGGAAATCGAACCTGCAGTGGTACAAAGAAACACACAAATGGGGCCCATATTTTGCTTGATACTTATTTTGCTTAACCCCATGGTAAACCTAGAGTGAAACACTAGCTAGAGGTAAGCAAAAAGCTACGAAATATACGTTTACTTAGATCCCGGTGATTTGAAATCGCGCAATTTCATTGGTCCAAACGCGGGATCTATTTTCAGTAGATCCCGCTGCCCCGGACGACGGGATCTATTGAGGAGCATACGCAAAACGAATAATACACGTGTGCAGTTCATAAGACTGTGCAGTGTGGGGCTAGCTACTCTTTTTTGCCTACATAAAAGTTCACTGTACAGCCGCTGAAGATAGCTGTAGAGTGTCGGAGGAGGCGGATATGGAGGTGCTGGGTGCGGGTCTTGGTGTAGGCTCCATTTGCGGGATCTTCGCTGGACCGGAAGTTCAGTATGTCTGACAGTGCCTGACACTGCTCATCCGACGTTCTTTTGTACGAGCGGACTCCTTCCAAACTCCTGTGCCCCGTCCTCTCCATTATCAGTTGTTCTTCGACTCCCAACTCGTACAGGCGACTTGCCGACGTGGCGCGCAAAGAGTGATTGGTCTTGAAACCGGGGATTCCCGCTGACCGGCAGAGTCTTTCAACTGTGTTGCCGAGCGGGTAGTGCCCCAGTGGTTAAGCTCTGTTGGTGTCATGTCTTGCATGCATGGGATGGTTTGAACTGCTGTCTGTATTCCCGCCAACTCTCCCAGAGTTTGTAGCAGTACTTTGTGTCCTCTTTTGTTATGGTCAGTATACTATTCTGTCTTCCTTTTTGTATCTCTTCACTCGTTTTCGGTGGAGCGAAGCGTGAAGGAACCGTTGCGGTTGTGGTGGGGGCGGGTCTCGTAGTAGATGCACGCGCACTGTTGTCGGTTGTTGTTGTGGGCGGACCAAGGATTCGTACTGTTTGCTCACGGCGAGCATGAGTATGTCGAGTTCCTTCTCGGAGTCTTCCTGGTCTAGAAAAGATAGTATCTCGTCGCTGAACAGCCTGGTGTCGCCATATCTTCACAATGGATCTAGACGCGTTGCCACGGTAACTACGTGTGGTAGAGTGCCTCGGGCTCCCTAGTAGCGCCCTCGCTGCGCTCAGGACGCCGACAGCTCAGGAGCCCTCGGCACTCTACCACGCGTAGTCACCTCGGCTCCGCATCTAACCTATACATAAAGTTCCCTTCCTAACCATGGTCAACTTCGCACCTACATAACACATACTGTACATACAATCGCATGTACAAAACTTATAAATGTATGTATGTATGACAGACTAGAGGACTAATGGCCAGCCCAGGCCAAAACATCCTGGCAGACAAAATTCCGCTACAGACCCACCACACAAAGAACTACTTGTGGTTGTGCTAACCTTCAGAGCTACAAGAAGTGACACTGTCTCAACTGAGTAGTACCCTCTGTCAACATAGTCACCCATGAAGAGATAGTTGGTGTCCGGAGACTTTCCACCTATTCTGAAGAGTTCCATCAGATCATGAAACTGGCCGTGTACATCACCACACACTGTGACCGGACATCGAACCTCTTGGACATTTGACTCATTGCTGAGTATCTCCTTTGCCTAAACACAAAAAATTAAACAACACACACATATTATGTACTACCTATAAGAGCACAAGAGCAAAAACTCATCACCAGATTATACATACCTCAGAGAAATCCACAAATTACGTAGCAAAACAGTTAGTCCATTATATATTATATCTAGTCTGTTAGAAACCCGAGGACCCTTGCGTCGTGGCGTTCTGAGCACAGAGAGAACACTACATGGAGGGCTTAAAGACGTAGATTTTTACGGAAGAGATGTCTAGCTCCATAGACGCAAACTTGGTAACACAAGTAATCGGCGCCGTGGCTACTTAGTAAATTCTATGTGGGTTGATCCATAAAGCCAGGAGCAGGCATTACAACACTACAGTAGCTACAACTTATTTGACTCAAAGTGTTGCCTATCACAAAGACAGCTTAAAGATTCAGGACTGCCAGGACTTGTTCTCAATCATGCATGATGAAAAGCTGATGGACTCGCCCATAAAGATGTGGCTCACATTCGCCCCAAAAGAAGCATGCTGTAGGAGTGTTCTGTCAAAACAAAACCCCTGGTTAGCAATTGATGTATGTGTTGTCATGTGACCAGGGTAGGAGGCTCATGGTGACACCACTGCCATCCGTCATCATGTGCTTTGCCTTTTTCTGGACAGCACAGGAAGATCACTTGACACCCCCACGCTGTCTCAGACTAGAGTTGACTCTGATACTCTTCTACATTGCCAATTGCCTTTTGGGGGTAATGCCAGTGAGTGAATCACCTACACGTCACAAGGTCATACGTGCCGTCACTGAATATCCCACCGACTGATTTTATAGTACATCTTGTTGAGGGAAAGGTGGAAAGTGTCAGTAACATGTAGCACTCCGAAAGTCTTACTAAGACCACAAAGACACGAGTCCTTGAGGCTAAGTAGCTCAGTACAATCGGCGCACTTTAGGGTACTGACGACGGAGATGAAGACCTCTGTTAGAATGTACCTTTTCACACAGGACCTTTACTTGTGTTTCATCTAGTTGCTTGCACTCCTCGAGCTTACTTATCCACTCATCTAACTCCTTAGCCACAACCTTGTCCTCCATCGTCGATTGTTTGTGTCGCGTCGTCTCCCGCGAGTTTTTTCGCGGGGGTCGCATACGGGGGGCCCGGGGCTGCCCGCCTCGCGGATATATAATTATGCGCAGCGTATAAGTATTATATTATACGGTCATACCCTCGGCGCGCATGCGCAGCGAGGGTTACACGGTATCGTTCTCTGTGTTCTTGATATATGCACATCCCATGCACCAGTATTAGTAAAATCAACACCCAAGTATGTGTATTTAGATCTGTGTGTGTCACTCACTGTGTGTCTGTCTGACTGTCTGTCTACGACTATTCTCGCGCTACAGGCAACGAGGCGGCTTATGAGCGATACCAACAGCTTTAGCGGTATTCTACATGGGCTAGAAAATAAAATGGCGATTTTGCTGAAACCACTGGGTACGTTCGAGAGCGACAAACTGGCAAGGTCGTGGACAGCGTTGCGTGGTCCAACCCATCAATTTGCATTCGCATTCGCTCTTGAGCGACTCAAGATGAGAGCCTTCCGTCCGCGTATCAACTCCCAGCCGCAATTCGCGCCGTAATACATACAGCCTACTCAGCAAAATTCGTCAACAACCTAAATAAACAGTTTTGGGTGCGGCGGTGGCGGAGGGAAGGCAGCTGCGAGACAGAGAGCCCTCTGCTTTCTTTGTTAGGGAGTCGATCGCTTTTGGACCCCCCTATTTCCGACTGTCTAACAGGAGTGAGTTTCTGTGGCCCACTGGAATTGTTGCGGTCAAGTAGGCTCACCTGGGAACGGAGGAAATGGATATAAAAAAAGCAGGAAGGGATATAACCCATATCACACAGTCCCCTATTACTGTTGCCTTGTGTGTCAATCAAAACTCTAGGTGGTTGTAATTGTCACCCCAGGTATAGATGTAGCTCCTTCTGTGCTCACGATCTGTTCGTATTCTGTGCTGAAAATCCCATCTGTATCATGCCACACTTCCTTTCTGTACGAAGGCTTAAATATTCTCTTGAAACGGACTCTTCAAGAGATATGGCGTGAAGACAAGCGAAAAAGCTAATCACCAGCTTATATTAACCCGTTTTGGAGCGTGTGGATCCAAGTTTGCCGAAAGATGTGTATAGGAGTCCACTGATGCTCTAAACGCTACCTACGTACTAATACAGCTGGGGTTGCCCCTTTACAGGCTAGACTGTGATGCATTGCACGGCCCATCAATTAGTTGTGCTTTATGCGCATGTGTATTGTGCACATCAATACTAACGACTATGTGTATGTGTATTCTTTTTAGGCTGAGCGTTTCATTTTTAATTTTGCTAAATTGCTAGTAGTATTGGTGTGCTCTACGAGTAACTTGACAATACCTTCTATTTTTTAGAACAATAATTATGGAGGTTGAGGAGGACAAATTAACATCAGAATCGTTTGACGTCCACACTTATATTCGAGATGTTGCTAGGGAGATGGACAGTTCTATGGAATTAAAACGCCACAAGCGGGCTATTCAAGAAGTGGCTGAACACACAGCTCAGAAGCTTAAGCAAAACGTGTATCAAAATTATGCTCTATTTATTAACACATCAAAAGAGATCTCTTCGTTGGAAGCAGAGATGTACCAGCTTAGCCACATGTTGAATGAGCATGAGTCACTGACACGTGACCTGTCAAATGTTGCATTGTCGGCAGTAGAAGCTGAAATAGGGGATGCTGGAACAGAGGCTGAGAAACACAGCATTGCCTCTCTGTTAGAAACAGTTGAGGGATGCTCATCTGTAACCGAAGTTCCTGGGCGTTTCCTTATTTACTCGTCTGCTTTGACTGAGTTACATCAGGTTAGAGTAAATATAAAGTCCTGGTTCCCTACATAATATGAGCCGAAAGAACACACCACGGAGGCCCTTGCATGTATAGTAACACCTATGTAAGTTTCTACAGTTGCATGAAAGTTTACCAACTGCTTTGTGGCTGGGTTTCCTGTAATTACGTTGGGAATTGATAACGGTCACATTTCTCATTGGACTTGGTGATTTAAATGCTGTCACACTTGACAATGCCCTTGCATTAGGTAGAGTGGTTGAATTGTCAGCTCACTAATGTAAGTTCATTGTAGTTATAGTAGAAATCTGTATTACCTACAGGAAACACATGAGGAAGTTCAGCTTGTTCAGGCCTTTTTACTGAATGATAGTCTGATGGTGTCATCACATATCCGCCGCCGCAAGGGCCCAGTGCGCTACAAATTTCAAGCACTGTATGAGCTTGACAATATGGCTATAGTTGAGGTGAAAGACTCAGATGCTCTCAGAAATGCTTTCAAGATTCTCATGTTTCCTGATAGTCATCTATATCAGGTAATGTGGTGTGGTACACACTGGCAACGCCTTTATGATGCAGTAGAACATTGCAATTTGCATATACAGAATTCTTATACGAAGAGTGGAGGTGAAGAATCATTGGGTTAAAATGAAACACATGATGTTTTCATATTCGTAGCACAATGTGGGTGTGTGTCTAAGGCACGAGTAATACCATATATTATGTGTAAAAAGTGACACATACACTAATTATGTGTAGCGCTTAGGGCGTAGGTGAGCCTGCGCGTTCCTCGTGAAAGCTGGACAGAATAGGTGGTTATCTCTTTCTTTCTCTCAAACCCCAGCTCTGCCAGTATATACAGTCCTTTTATACTAGGCTACACATGTGGAGTACGGAAAATAAGAGTACAGTGATTACATACACTACACTATTGCAGAGATGCGTAGTGCAATGCAGAATTTAAGCCACTGAGCAACCAAAGTGTAACAGCATTTTTAAGTGAAAAGCACACTTTACTCACGTGATGATTAGGCAGAGTCTAGCTTGGAAAAAGTTAGACTATAATCCCAGCTTTCAAACTGTTTTACACTTGAATTGCGGGTGGGTTTTGCTTTGGAAAAGAAGAGTGTTACTCAGTGTGCATGGCACATAGGATTACAGTACTTGGTCTGTTTGTCTGTCTGTCTGTGCCAATGCTTATTAACCCTCGGTGCACATGCGCAGCGAGGGTTATAGTACTTGTTCTGTGTGTCTGTCTGTCTGTCTGTCTGTTGGTCTGTTACCACGCTTTCTGCCACCATGCGCAACAAACCTACGGGGCGCCGTTTGTTCCAAAACTCAACTTTAAAAGTTTTTTCTTATTTTACCCAGTATATGTAAATTGACTGCAATATTTATTATATATGTTTAAAACCTGGCCCATTTTAAAGCCGTCCGACGGCTTTAAAACGGGCCGGACCGCTTACAAAACAGGCCAGACGGCTTTAATTCCGGCCCGACGGTTTTCAAGCCGCCCCGACGGTAAGCCAGACGGTTTTTAAGTAGACGCTCAGGATGACCATGTTGTTCATTACCGCGTCGTTCATTACCGCACAACAGCTGTTCCCAGCCAACGGCGAGCACGGTCCGTGCATGCGGGGCCGGCAGCAGTGTCCTACCGTGCCAGAACCTGTTCCAGCCACCGGCCTTGCGAGCACGGGTCCGCGCATGAATAAAACTGGGCCGGCAGCAGTGTCCTACCGTGCCAGCAGCTGTTGTTCCAGCCAGCGGCCTTGCAAGCGCTGTCGTCTACTGTGCCCAGCGGCGACAGAGAAAACGAGGACGGGCTGGGCAGGTGATCGCGGGAACTGAGTCACGTATATTACCGCCGCCGCGCACGCGTGCGTGATCGATCTTTTGCCGTGACAGCTAGCCCTGGGCGGGATGAGTTCGCGGCCGACTGCTGAGGTAGATCGCAAAATCAGGGCTGGACAGTAGCGACTGGTAGATAGGTTGCTTCTTCCTGATGGCCTTCAATCGAGCTGGACAGTTTTAAAGCCGTCTGGACGGCCTCTAGACGGCTTTAAACTGGTCTGGACGGCTTTAAAACGGGTCTCTGGTTTTTAATCGGTCCCCAACATATACACTGCTCTATTTGTGATAGTGCTATTTGTAAATTGACAGTGCTATTTATTAATCAAATGATGCATTTACCAAATAAGAAACAACATTTATATAATAGGCATGGTTTACGGCTCAACTGTCTGGCCAAGTTTTGAACCACATGCCATCTGTTCCAAAACTCATTCTCCAAATATGCATAGGTACTATGTCCACTATATATAAATTTGCTACAAAATTTAGGATATGTATGACGACATTTATAAATCGACCATGACATTTATAAATCGACGACGACATTTATTAATCGACCATGACATTTATAAATCGACGACTAATCGGCGATTATTGTACCAAAGTTCGTACGGGGCGCGTATCTAATTGCGCATGCGTAATTTATATGAAAGTACAGCTATACTATCTTCATTAAATAGGCGACTGCGACTGTCTCATAAGCACATGGCTCTGAGTAGCTACTGAGCGCCGACAACGCGACAACTGCAACGCGGGGACAGCATGGCAGAAGCCGGGCCTTCCGACAATCTCGCGGTCGGCTGTCCAAGAGCGGATGTTGACTTGGACGACGTTGAATTTCTCTGTTCTTTGAAGCTCAGCCTAACGAAGGTGGCGCCTCTACTCGGTGTAAGCTGGTCAACTATTTATCGCAGAATGGAGGAGGAAGGGAGAGTAATAGGAAGTTACACAGTAATTACCGATAATGCCCTGGATATACTGATTCAGAGGTTAAAGTCAGATCATCCCCATGAAGGGAAAGTACTGATGGCTGGGCATCTTAGTGTACGTATTCCTCAAGCCAGATTAAGGGCATCAATTCATAGAGTAGATCCTCAAGGGGGTTTGCAGAGAGGAGTCGCCGTGCAATTCAGCGGCGAGTGTATTCAGTACCTCATGCTAACTATATCTGCCATATTGATTCTCATCACAAATTGATCAGGTGGAGAATGGTTATCCACGGTACCGTTGATGGATACTCACGGAAAATTTTGTACATAAAGTGTGCTAATAACAATAAAGCTTCTACAGTGGTTTCAATGTTGTCACATGCTGCATTCACATTCGGAATTCCATACAAGGTGAGAAGTGATAAGGGGGGAGAGAACACTGATGTGTGGCGCTACATGTTACATTACAACAGCATGCAATCATCATGTGTTATAACTGGTTCTTCGACCCATAATGAACGGATTGAAAGAATGTGCTGCGATGTATTTAGGTGTGTTGGGCAAATATTTTACAGCCTGCTCTATGGGTTAGAGGATGATGGCTTCCTGGATCCCCTTAATCATACTGATCTTTTCTGCGTTCATTTTGCAATTCTTCCTGAAGTGAATCGCTGCCTGAAAGAGTTCACTGACAGCTGGAACAACCATAGTCTCTCTAGTGCAGGCAAGGTTGTTATTTACTATCAGTCTGTTAGAGAAGCAGCAGAATGAATCTGCAGAGGAACGTAATCTCCCTAGTGAAGGAGACCTAAGTTCAGTAAATTTGGCACCACATGGAATGGAAGATGTTACAGTGGTTGATGTTCCGAATACACCAGCACATATGCCCTACTCTGCAGCAGGATTTGTCAAGAATTCCGGTTGACACTGAAACTTCAGACTTTGGATTACGCAGATACATGCAGAGTATTCAAACTGTCGGAGGACACATTCAACGTGGTTGTGATACATGCTTTGTTATATACAGCATGAAACACATGAAATGTTAATAAATCAGTTAAGGACCTCCAAATCCGTCATTACTCTTTAATCCGAGGATTAGTGCATCTCTGAACGATGTGTAAGTCTTGTGTACAGTGGGCAACCTTATAATAAGAGAACATGTTGAAGAGGTCGGTAGAATTGCATCATGGATAAATTCAATAGTTGGTTTTTGGGCCAGCTTGTTGGTGGGGGATAACTGGCTCCAGAAAAAATATACATATATCTTCCACGGTGCACCCTTCAGCATTCTTTTCTGTAGTAAACAAAACCGGTGAGTTATAGTGACATTGTAAAGTAAGAGAGCATTAATTATATCTCGTACCTTCACATTCATCTAAAAAGTCCATAAAATAGATGTAGGTCTGCTCTTCGTAACACCTCAATACTGATCCATTATCAGCATAATCAACAGAGAACATCGCCTTAAATGTGCCTATAATGCAGTAAAGTTGTCAAAATAAAGTCTAATAGGTCGTACTTACTGGCAGTATATAATTGAATTTCATTAACAAAGAGTGGTGTTCGCAGATCATAATGCTTCTTAGGGTATTTAAGGACTCCTCCAGCTTCCAGTCCTGCTTTGAATTGGTCCATCACGGCTTTAACCTTCAGTAATGCAGTTTGCAAACACAAGTTGCTGATGTAGGTTGCAGAGTACCTTTAGAAAAAGGTGGTAGGTGGTCACTGTTGACACCACGCCATTCCTTTTTGACAGGGTTACAGATGAAAGTTGTCTGGTATACCCAGCCTCTATAATGCAGTCAAGCACTTCCTCCTCCATCACAACTTCTCTCAGTGTGTCATCAGAATCAGCAGAATTGAGTATGCAATCAGAAAAAAGGTAGAGTGAATGTTATAACAACACCACCACACCACAACCTTATTAATAACATGTCTAATGTTAATATAAGGAATGTATTTGGCTGCAATTGGTAGCATTGACCACACATCTGTACACAGGTACAAATAAACATGCTGGTGGAAAAAGGGAACCCTGGTCCTCCTTGAATTAGCGACATTGCAGTATACTCTCCAACAATTTTGTAGTCACCAATCTAGATATTGCATTCATCCATTATTGCAGTAAGTTCTAATAGCACAAGACCTTTACCTGGTAAGCAGAGGTATTACACGCAAAGAAACTGCCAGTATCATCAGCAGCATTTGAAAAGAATACAGAGTTCCTGCAATTTTCTGCCAACAGACGGAAAAATTCCCTACATGGCCTCCCATCATCAACCGCCCCATCGCCTACAAATGAGATCTATAATATACATCCAACAAGTATAAGAGAAATTCTGTGACTTGATCCTAGCCTTCAACTGCTTTGTGGGGGAAAACTTCTTTTTCCGTCCTTCCCGCAGTGCATCAACCAGCAAAAAATTCCTCCGCACATCAATTTCAAGCACCTCTGCTGTGGGAAGGCAAGCCTGTATCAGCTCAATAGTACTTTCGGTTGTATTCACCGACTCCCTGTGTAAAAGTATACCCACTGGCATTATATTCTAGTTGTATAATGTTGACATACCTTCGGGGAATAATAGGGGAGAATGCCGGAGATTCCGGGCTAGGAGTGTATTGATAATCACCTTCGTATCCAGGAACAATTTCTTCTGGGGAGGTATATACTATAAAAACGAAAGGCACTAAAGTGCTAATCCCTAGTGCCTGTATACACGGGGATGTGAAAAAATTGTGCCGGTCGGACCACTAGGTTAGCTCGCTTCCACTCGCCAATAAGATCAATAAGTTACCTTGAAGTTGCTTCTGCTGGGTTAGGTGTGGTGGGGGTTGCACCAGTCGTAGAAGAGGACCTACAGGATTAATCATATCAACAAAAACACTATTAACAAAAGAATCACCTTGTCAGTGGTGCAGAACTAAAAGATGCACTTGCTGATTGTTCAGAACATGAAGATGTGCTAGAAATAACAAACAAGTATATAACAGCAGGGTGTCAAAACACCAAAAAGACGCAATACCCAGTTAAAGGTCCAGCCAGATTAGGAGATGCTCTCTGCCTCTTTGGAAATGTCGGGAGAAAATCATCATCTGAGTCTGTAGCAGCTAGGTCTACATACTCCTCCTACACAGGGCATTTTATATTATAGTTAAGCTGGAGTATAAAACACACACCTTCACATCTTCAACAAGAAGCTTTTGTCCCGCTAAAATATAGAAACATGTCTTCCCCAACTTCGAAATTTCCTGTGCATTCCATTGAAAGGAAGTGCTGAGAGCTGGAGCTGCTAGGGTTTTCACCCCACACCCTGATGTCTGGAGGAAAGTGAAAGGGAAATATGAATCATTCCCCATAGCCTAAACAAAGGCAGATCTGATTTTTGATCTGATCTCTTCTTCAGTCATCTGGGAGGTCAAGGTGACCTTTCCCTGCAGCCCCATGTCTGCCAGCAGAGCTCTTTGTTTCCCTCGTGGGATTGTAATCCTCTTAGATCCCTCCACTCCATAGCTGGAGGGTAGGCATACAACATTTCGGTTGTATTGGACAACCTTCTGAGCCTTTTTTGACGTTTGTCACGTCTCAGAAATGAGGGAAGCCTTGAATCTGCCAATCTAAACAATACTTGACAAAGTTACATTTAGTATGGTACAGTGGGTCCAGTTTAATAACATGCGGGATATTCTACAATGTGGGTCTGTATACTGTGTATACTGGGGGTGTGAATGCAGGTGTATGCCAATGTATACTGTGACCCAGATAGCGCACAATGCAGTTTGTTTAGCTAAGCTAATCAAGCTAGGCTAGCCTAGCTGTTTACATAAGCAAATCGAAGCCTGGTGGAGAACGGAGAGTTGCAAAACTCCAACCCAAGGTTGCAATCATGACAGTATATTTGCGGGCAAAAACCAACAAAATTGCTCAATTTTTCTATGGTAATAGGCCGTATATGACATTATCTAAAACGGAGTAAAATGTATGGGAAACCATAGGAAACGGTTTTGGACTCCAGGTTTGTAAACGGGATATTCTACTAAAGGTATGATATTTAGTGGGACCTACTGTATTAGCTATACTCCGCAAACTACCTGACAGAGGAGTGTTCAGACGTTTGTGGATGAGTTCGATACGTGGTAGCAGCAGGAAGCTGAGTCGCAGCAGTAGGCTGCGGGCGCGTAGCTTCACTTATAGCACTGGTAACAGCCGAAGAAACAACGCTAGAAAGTTGGTGCAGGTCCATATCGGTAGGTACACCTGCACGTGGTGATAATATAGATACTCAGTACTAGCTCACCCTGACCGGGTTTAGCCTACTCATTCCAATGAAGCGACTTGAGAGATGTGTAATCCAATCCAGTGTTGCTGCCCACTGCTCTGTGCTAGACCAAGAAACTGGCTCCATTGATGGGTTAGACCGCATGGCGTGGGCCACCTCAACAATATTATGCGCATGCAAATCATTAACAAACACGTGTTCCCTGCACCGAGGTGTTACACTTTACTGCTTTTCATAGTTCTCTCACTCCCCTCATATATTTCTTGAATCCCAGGCTGAAAATCCTGGCTTAAAACAGACATGGATAGAGTTATTGGAGGACACCAAACAGAAGCACAAGGTTTCTCGGGATGCTCTGAAGAGAGAGGTTAGTTGTGGTCAGCAACTTATTAACCCTACGTAGGTGCGCATGCACAGTGAGGGTTACGGTACTTTGTTGGTAAGGTATCTGTTTGTCTGTTACCACTCGTAACAATCTACTCGTAATCTACTTGTCTAATTGGCCCATTGTATGTCAGACTCTCAGAAAACTTAGGAGAGACCGCAATAATGTAGGCTAGCCCATCAAGCAGTGGTTCTGATTTTCGCATGCGTATGGGTGCAGTGCTTTTGGTGCATACACGTTTCTAGTGTGCCGAGAGTTTGTACTTTCGTTCTTGTACAAGTGCAATCGGTACCAGTCGCACCTGTGGTAAGATGAACAATAATAAATTGAAACCTTAGAGTCAGAATTTGGTGATTCAGCGCTGTGCATATAGAAGAGACTGGACCTCGTGTTTTTGGAGATTTAGGTCCTTTTCTCAGGCACCATACAATTTTAATATGCTACGTATGCACACAATTTTCGAGTAGTGTGAAGAAACTAATTATGGATTCATTATCATGTTTATCATCATCATCAGCTACTGGACTGATGGTGTTTTGTATTATCGCTTCCAGGCATTGACAGAAGATAATAATTTTCCTTCTTAAAGAGAATCTACATGTTGTTCCCAAAGTAGATTTGGGTGGCAACAAATGCATCTTGTGTGACCTATTTACTTGCGAAAAGGCCTATTTACTTGGCCAACTTCTTGTAGTTTAACATTCATTTTCCGTATTTGAAGCATCGCAGAGTTTAGATTAAGTGTTGATGCCATAGTAGTACGTTTTCTAGCTAAATATGCATGTGTAGGCAGGCCTTTCTACTCACCCTACGACACAGGCCGCCCACACAGTGAGTCATTTCTATCATGATGTGCTTCAAGTGTGGTACCTGTTTCCATTGCTGTTTTTGCATGGAATAGATTAAGGGCTAGTTAACGGATGCAAGGACTTTCCGGGGCCAGCTTGGCTCTTATGGCTTCTTGTGGCACTGGGTCTTCTAAGATAAACATACAAGTAAATAAAAATTCTGCGAATTTAAAAAAAGAGGCATATAGGGATGGTATAAAAAGAAAGGGAGACAAGATAGGGATGGGATACATGAAGCATGGTTAATAAACAGATTTGGGCATGATGACACCCCGATCCCATCACACAATCCGTATATTGCTGCCTGGTGTGCCTGTTGGTTACTCAGTAGCATGATTTTTTTGGTACTTTCAGGCTGTAGGTCCTGACTATTGTGTAATGTTGAATGTTTAATACTTCACCTAGGCAACAATATAGGGATTGTGTGATGGGATCGGGGTGTCACCATACTCAAATCCCTTCATTAACCATGCTTCATGTATCCCATACCTATCTTGTCTCCCTTTCTTTATACCATCCCTATATGCCTCTTTTTCGCAGGATTTGTAATTTACTTGTCTCCACTCATTTTTATATACTACTACGTATATCTCTGTGAAAGGGGGCAAGCCCCCTATAAAAATTAATAATGCCCGTGGTAGTCATGGAAATGATGTAATACACAATGCGTACCAAGTTTCATCTCCATGTGTGCTGCCGTTAGCAAGTTTGAGGAGTGTAGAAGTAAATGCCTGAACGATGTAATATGCTTACCAAGTTTCACCTCCATGCGTGCTACTGTTAGCAAGTATGAGGAGTGAAGAAGTAGTTTTAAAGTAAATTGGCTGAAAAAAATTGCGGTCGTCATGGAAACATGTAATTGTCATGGAAATGATATAATAGGCATACATACCAAGTTTCATCTCTATGTGTGCTACCATTGGAGAGTTTTAGGAGCAAAGAAGTAAATTTAAAGAAAAGTGTCTGAAGCTATTTGTTGTTGTTTACACACATGTGTTGTTGTGATTTTGATGTTGGTGATTGAATACGTTATGTATACAAAGTTTCGTTCACATAGCTCTTACTACACTGACACAATGTATTGCCTATGTATTTGTTGTTATTTACAGTAAAACATTTTGTTTACAAAGAAATAACTATGACCAGTCTCTTCGGGTGACGGATATGTACATTCTTACAAAATTTCATTACTGCATGTTGTTTCCTTTTTGAGTTATGGGTGTTGAATCTGAAGAAGAGGAGGAACATGAACAAAACTCCCTATCATAGCCCCATACATCTATGATGCTAGGTACCATGCCCATCCCTATCACATATACACTAGGTCATCCCTCTCTTGTCTCCTTGCTTTTTATGGCATCCCTATATTCCACACTTTGAATTCGAAGAATTTTTTATTTACTTGTCTCCTTTTCTATTTTTTACAGCATGCACATGCATTGGGGCATAATGTCCATCTAAAAAGTAACATGTACTTATTGTCTCAGACTCTTTGTCGTCGTCTACATGTTTATTTCACCACCAAAGTACATAAGTGTATAAAGTTTCATTGTTAGAGGACCCAGCTTAAGCAAGTTATAGTGACTTAATATCCTGAGGCTGTTTGTTCTTGTACTATGAACTCTTATCACGGTTAATCAGTGTACCAAATTTCATTGTGAGAGGACCCACCATAAGCAGTTATAGGCACAAACACCATTTGCAAGTTTTTATTGCCTGAGGCTGTTTGTTGTTGTTTAATTTCTGTTTCGATGAACTCTTATCATGGTACATCAGTGTACCAAATTTCAAAATTTCCTCCACACAAGCCCTGTATTGTCGCCACCTTTACTGTTTGTTTAGTGAAGTGCGAGGACAATTGTGAAAGGATTCTGTATGTAGATGGCCAAGAGTGCAGCATTGTAAAACTGGTATATATAGAAGTGATAGACTTCACACAATGCAGTCACAACTGAAAACCGAGCAGATTATCTGTCTAATGTGCTTATTCATAGATGTGCATCATACAAGGGAGCACACTCGTACATCGCGACAATATAGGGCTTGTGTAGAGGTAATTTTACACGAGCAAGCGATGTCAGTTCGAAGTATATAGCCATCATCCATTGTACTAGGTCATCCCTGTCTTGTCTCCTTACTTTTTATGGCATCCCTATATTCCACACTTTTCTAATTCGAAGAATTTTTTATTTACTTGTATACTAAGTGCTTCCGTACTTAGTGATATTAAATGTACATGTGATTGTGACATGGTGAGTTTAAAGAGATTTTGAGCCATCTGATTCGGCCTGATTTAAGGCAAACCTTTTACGTGTAGGTGTTATTGTCAAAGTGTTGTAGTGCCTTTATTAACCCATGATGAAAAAAAAATCACTAAGTACGGTAGTACTTAGTATATAGGGATTGACATGGTACCTAGCATCATAGATGTATGGGGCTATGATAGGGAGTTTTGTTCATCATCATCTTTCTTCTTCTTCTTCTTCTTCCTCTTCGACCAGCGTAACTCAAAACCCGAAAGAGATAAAGCCATGAAATTTTGTACAATGTGCGTATCGATAACCACATGTGCAACGTCATATTTTTTGGTTTGTAAACAATGTTGTTTACTGTAAACAACTAAAAATGTGCCCCAGGCAATACATTATAATGGACATAGTTTCCATGACAACCACAACACAAAGTAGCCTCAGGCACTTTACTTTAAATTT